CATGCATGAGTTTTTTAAGCGGTAATAAAACCAGCGCTCATAGATCCTTCTAATACCAAATTGATACATATAGGATACAAACAGAAACTGTAAACTATATTATCCGTAAAACAAAGGAATTATGTTAATATACTGTATGAACAAGTGATAACAAAATTAGTCCAGTCCCAGCCCCTTTTCGACCTGCTCGGTTAACGGGCTTCTCGCGAGAAGGGGCTCGGACTGGACTATAACAAAATATGAACAAACATATCAATGATTTTTGTATTAATGATCTAAAATCACTGTATATACTTAATATTTCAAAACAATATTTAGCAAATAATTTTGTTATTGAATCATCTTGCATAGATAAAAGATATTTATAGAGATCATCATCTTCAAGTATACTAAAGGCTGGATTTATAACTCTTAAATGTTGTAGGAATGTGAAATTCACCACCAACAATTCAAATGTCGAACCACATAAGTTGCACTTTCGATCCTCATAAGCTATTTAACAAATAGATCTCATTTTTCCGTGCGTGTGTTCTCTAATAGATACACAGATGACGTCAACATGTAGTGAGAACAAAAAAGTACGCACGAGACGCAGTCGAGTGCGTGACTGTTGTTCTCGCTACATTTTGACGTCATCTGTGTATCTATTAGAGTACACACGCACGGAAAAATGAGATCTATCTGTTTTATACAACAAACAATTAGTCTTGACGTAATCCGTGTATCTATAGACGAGTGAAGGTATCCTTTAGCAGCATGATTGTGATAAGAAAAAATGTATACAAATGTGGCCAGGGCTGCTATGATGTCTAAAATGTATATGAGAGGTTTCAGCTGAAAAGGGGTCTTATTCATAAATATTTTGCTTTGGACTACATATAAAACTGTTGCGTCATCAAAGGGGTCTTAATCTTTAAGACCCTTTTTAAGTTGCANAGGATTTGGAAGAAGATAGGTGTTCTTTGATTCTGTCATGAAGATGTCTTATCGTGCTGCCGATGTACTTGGATTCGCATGTAGTGCATGTTATCTCGTAGACAACTCCACGCTTGAAGCATAAGCCCGATGTTGCTAGAGGGCATTTGTCAACTTTACACGTGTAGCGCTTTACAGGGTGTTTAAGAACATTACGTATTGTATGCGATCTGTGGCAAATCCTCACATTGAGGCCTTCGTTGCTGAAAATACTCCTGAGATGTTTGTTAAAGCCGTCAGAGACGTATGGAATGTTGAGGTATGACCAGTTTGTGCGATCTGCGTCGTTGGTGCTACGTTTTTCACTACGGTTCCGGGCGGCGTCTAGTTTGGTTCGTTCTATGAAGCTTGTGGGGTATCCGTTCGTTTTAAGCAATTCATGAAATTCCAGGTCCCGCTTAGTGGCCACACTCGTGGAAGTACAACGGTGCCTGATTCTCTCCCTCTCGTTTTTGATAAAGTTGCGTTTCGCAGACTCGGGGAGCCATGATTTGTAGTTGACGAACAATGGTTTCTTCGCCTTTTTCTTATAGAAATCGAATGATGAGGATCCATCGTTTTTAATTGTGACGTTGAAGTCGAGCAATGAGAGAGAGAGGCCATCTGAAGTCTTCGTCGGCTTTTCGATCTCAAAAACGATGCTGTCGTGTTGTGCATTCATTAGGGTGTGAAATCTATCGGCGTGCTGTTCGTCTTTAGCTTGGGCGTAAACATCATCGACATAACGGCTATATAGAGAGATGTAGGTACAAGAAGAGAGAGTTTGCCGTTCAAGTGTGTCCATGAAAAGGATGGCAAGTATCCCTGAAACACTAGATCCCATCGGGAGGRCTTTGTTCTGCTTGAAGATGCAAGTGCCGTACATAAAATAGACGTTTTGTGTAATGATCGTCAGGAGATCTTTGATGTTGGTATTAGTGAAATGGTTGATCGAGGTTCCCATTTTGTCGTATACTTTGTTAATAGCTTCCTGTACGGGTATGGACGTATAAAGTGCGACGACGTCCAGGATCGTCCAGGCTGAAGGGATAGGGGAACTTCTTGTTGTCGTTGGTGTTATGTGACTGGATGGAGTTGATGAGTTGAAGGCTGTTCTCGAGATGGGCTGGAACATCACGTAGGAGGGGCTTTAGTAGACSCGCTAGGAGCCATGAGATTTTGGTGGTGGGTCCGTTGATGTTGGAGATAATGGGTCTGATCTTCAAACCTTGTGCTTCAGGCTTGTGTGTCTTTATCAGGTGGTAGAATTCAGGTAGGTCGGTATTGGAAGCGATAAAGCTCCTTTTGATGTGTTTAGGCATGTCATTTTCCTCACAGATTCTCTTCCAAGTTGAGTTGATTTTCCCTTCTATGGTTTTAGCTGTCATACGTTTGATAGGTTTGTATGTACTGGCGTCATTAAGGTGAGCGTGTGCTGCGTTTACGTAAGAGGGCTTGTCGATAACACAGAACTCTGAGCCTTTGTCGCTGGGTAGACAGACTAGGTCTTTACGCCGTCGTGTATCTATACTTTGATAACACACGAAAGCCAACCAATCAAAACGTCTGATTTTACTGAAAAGTTGTATAATACATGATAACGTCCAGATCAACATTTTCTAAATCGTAGGCCAGTATAAAATGAGCAGGTATTTTAACAAACAAACAGTGTTTATCGGCTCAATTTTGTAGAATATTAGTCATGTTAGCTGGGTAACATTATACTGTATATACCTATAAAACTACAAAAACGAATTGGTTATACAGCCAAACTCAGCATCATGCATGTTAACGGTAAATTCCAATGGAATCAGTATTATGAAAAAAGCCAATAGTATMAACAAAAACATTGATGAAAGAGAAATTAAAGGAAATTCGTAAGGAACTTTTCTAATAAAACTGTAAGTACTAATTTATTATCGTGTATCCATACCAAGATTAATTCAGCATACAAATATCTATAATTGTGTAACATTTGAAATCCTTCCCGAGAGAAATACCTCTTGTCAACTAGTTTAAGGTTCGTTTAAGGTAAGATATATTCCGTAGTTATAATACTTCAAGTACCATATTAGTGGCGTGCCTCTTAATGGCAATCTCCTTCACATCTAATCACACTTCTTAATTGTGATGTTTTCTTTACAATCGAATGCCATTTTTGATTTTTTGAAAGAAAATTAATTCCATGGCTGTAAAACTGTACGTATCGGGGCACACTCTATCATCGTGCCAAATTTCAAAGATGTTCCATAAATTTGCACAATTCAGCATAAAATCTGCACCATTTTCTTTTACATCCAAGCATAAGTCGGATGAACTCCGAATTATGGATAATAAGTTGGAATTCATGTTCATAGATTTTTTCACTGAACTGGTTTCTGGTAATAGTATCAAACTGAAGATAATTTTATGCGAGCGATGTAAGAACTGCAATAATGACAAAAACCGTACGAAAAAATTGCTAAAGCCACAAACACGTTTGTCGGATAAATTCCGTTTCATGGATAAGCTGGTATTATGTCTGTATAGATTGTGTTAGCGCCATAGCTCCAACAGTATTTTTTGTTTATTTTGCTCTTTGTGTCGTTAATGAGTGTCCGCTATTGTATTCGTTAGCCAAAGTCAACGTTCGCTTATTTCCTTTATTCCTTAAATGTTCTACGTAAATTTCGTTCAGTAAACTGTTGACCCCCACATCACCATGATGTGCATGCCTGGGACATCCCCGCAGAACTAAAAATAATATCTGCAAAAATCCCAAAATGTGCCTGTGGCAGAGGATACAGAGAAACTTGTTTTGCGGCCAGCCACTGCAGCAGGATGGAAGTGCTAGCATGTCTCGACCTGTTCCTACCCGCTAGGTGACACTCCCAGCCTGCCGATATTGCTAACCTGGTAAGGCGAAAGCTAAGTATCGCTTAATGTTTCGCATGCAGTTTTATGTGGATGATGGTCAATCAGACCTAGTAACCTTCTGACATGAAACAGTCGCATCGACTGACAGCCAGAGAGAGAGAGAGGAAGAGTCTGTGTTGTTATATCTTAGCATCATAAGTACGTCTGTCACACAGTATTTTCATTTTTCACATGTCGATATCCGTGTTATATAGTATAGTTAACTGTCTTTGTGAATTTATTATTAGGAACC